GAAATTGTAAGATTCGGCAAAACCCGTGATTAGGTCCACCTCATTGAACAAGAAAACGCTAGCTACAGTCATAATCCGTGGAACCGATAGGGCGTGTGACGTGCGCGGGTTGCAGGCCTGCTACGACCTATCGGGAGACTTGCAGGCAGGTACGCGGCCACGCCCACCGCGACTCAGGGATATGGAGGGTAACCCTAATGATCTCGGCGAGCAGCCAAAACGCAATTTGCCTGAATGACGCGACCGGGAGACTTGCTACGCTTCCCTCCTCGATACTCCTAAACATTGTTACGCTTTAATAACGATTTTGCATTATAGAAAAGACCTGAATGACCAATTCTATCAACACAAAACAAGCCATTGAAGCTGTAAGATCCAAGAGAACCCGACCTCCGGTTTTCAACCGAATCCATTATGCGTTTTAATCAACTTTCTTTCGCTGTGATTACAACATCAGGAGACGCGAAGGAAGCAAGGGAAGGAAAATATGTTTACATACCACGAGCAGCATTCTATCATGTAACTTCATGAAACCGAATTGTCGGATTCCGAAGGGGTCAGCTGAGCTCAGAAACTGGTTACATCACAAAAAGGGAGATCTACGAGTAATCGAAACTTGGCCAGTGGAAAATTACCATATCTTTAGTACTCAGTTTATCTTGGAGTTCAACATAGTACTCATTGAAAAAGAAATAAAAAAGTAAAGTAAAAAAAGTGTGTAAGAACAGTACTTGTCCATATCCCTCATGTCCTGTGAGATAGAAAACGATGATGAATCTAACCGATGACGACGACCGATCGATGAATGCTGGTAGCGAGCCTTAATATATACTTGTTACTGCAGACCTGTTACTGAAGTAAACAAAACATGAGAAAAGTAAATATTTACATTGGAGTTAGAAAATCGCCAGGACTACGAACAGGTTTGGAGATCTAAAGGTATGAAGTGGATAAAGCGGTTGTTTCATCCCTGTGGAAGGCGCCAGGTATTCAACATCTGTTTGGAATCGCAGAGGCATTTAAAAGACAAATGGCATCGTTTTGTTGTCATAAACTGATCACACTAAAGTCTTGCAAAAGTATCTCAGCGAATGGGAGAAATGCTAGAAAATCGCCCCTTCCCAGCAAATAGCGCCATCGTGGTCCATCTATTCTTTGCAATTAGGAAAACCCTCCAGCACCCTGTACGAGGTCGACAAGATTCTAATGGTAAGGTCATTAACGTAGTGATCATGCAGAAAGAACAATTGATAGGAGGCGCATTGGGCTAGTTCTGCCATCAGCCCGGTTAGCTCAGTCGGTAGAGCACCAGACTCTTAATCTGGCTGTCGCGGGTTCGAGCCCCGCATCGGGCTTACGTTTTGCATTTGTTCAAACAAGCACGACTCGTAAGTGCGAACATAATTAGAGTTCCAATAGGCGGTATTTCAATCAGATTGTAGCATGAGGTGACTATTGAGGTGCAAAGTTTAGCCATTTTCCTGGTTGAGGTCAGTCTATAGACGGTAGTTGACCACCATCTAGCTTTATACTAAAGTATCGCTGTTGGTCACAAAAAACTACTTCGTAGTTATCCTCTTCGGCTGATTTTTTCTTCTTATGCGGTCTAAAGGCAGCGGCGAACTTCAAAACCGCCAGTTTGAGTAGTGACGCGGCTACCAAACTTGATTTGGAGAAATTCGAAGACCGCGGGAGAAGTAGTGCAGCTGGAGGAGAGCGAATCTCAACTTCACTGGGATGTGGGTTCACAGCTGTTGATAAACTCACCTCATCATATTTCCTAAGAGTGTGATCCATTCGAAGATGGCTGAGAAGTGGTGACGCTGTTTTATTGCGATCGGACGGTGGTGGATTCAAAAGCATCTGATCGATCGCGGGTGGGGAAACGTCTGGCACGGCGATGGTTAAGCGACGTGACCTGAAAACCTCAAAATAATAACCCTACGAATGAACATACCATCGGGCGCTGTTCGGCTCGGGAGGGGCACGTTGCACTTTTCTTCTTTTTTTTGCTGGTTCCTGTTACTTTACTCGTCTCACCTTGACGAGATCTGTAGTCTTGTCAAGTGTGCGAAGTTCCTGATACTTCACAGGAGTTTACAGGTCTTCACGGGAGGCATCGGTGGTGATCGTGGGAACTAGCAAAATGTCCCCACCAAGCCAAACTGCGCCAGGCATTGTATAGGGAAACACCTTGAAACTTACCTCGTACCGTCGGCCTCCGGCAATGACTGAGTGGAGGCGCGAGACGATCCATTTTTTGATTGCTGGAAAAATTGTTTCGATTAGATTGGTTAAACCATTCCCATGTTCCTTTCATCAGGTTAGGCTAAATCGCGGGAAACCCCACCCTTTCCATATTCGAGCTCCTCCCTTTCCCTCTGCGCATTGAGTCGTTAAATTGCACGGTGGTAGGGTTCAAGGAGCTGCTGATCTATAATTGCACTTGCGGAGATCCCAGATATTATCCCTGATTTTCTCTGTTCAGATCGCGATTCTGGTAACGCCCCTCCCCCACTCTATCCCTCTCTTTGAACCCTTCAAATGGGTCGATCAAAGAAGCAAAAACGCTCCCTCTTGGTTGTCAGTGACACAGAGTGCCAGCTTCTTTTTACTGACAGTAAGAATACTAATATATGTGGATGAAAATGATCAACATTCCCATTCATTCTTCTTATTGAACACATCATTTCTCGAATTTCGCCATGTTATTCCGAGGAACAGCTGCGGAACAGCTGTTTCTGCTACTGCGTCAAGAATGAGTACCCCAAAGGATCTAGTGGAAAAACTTACCTTCTGTCGCTTTGTGAGTGCTTCGACAAGTTCGGTTTGTGATCTGATGATGAGATCGAGGCGAGCCTCCACATCGCATAGGCGACTTTTCAATGAGCAATTCTCTTGTAGCAATTCGTTGACCCGTTGAGAAGTGAGCTCCGTTCTGTAACATGAGGCATTTGAGCACTCTTATAAGATATTTTCGTTGAAAATTATCTACTCTGAGCTAGCTCTGAGTTCTACTCATCAGCCGGGAATTCAACACAAAGGCACATTCGACTTCATAGAATTGCTACTTTTCATCCGAACCATAACCAGAGCATAGGCGATAACGATGAGGAAAACTGGACCTTCAGCATGACCTCCTCCTTAACCCACGTACAGTGTAATTGGGAGAATCTCAGCGGGAGGTGAGGGTGGACTGGCCCCACGAAAATACCTTGGAGGCGTCAGAGCAATTTTTTCGGCACTATTTAGCTTTACTGCCCCAGTCATCGAAATCAGGCCAGTTCCTGACCGACTTTTTTCTCCGTGGGCAGAATTTGCTGAAAACTTGGCTCCAGGGGTAGTTCGACCCGCTGAACACGAATATCGCATCCGCTTGACCCGAAACCTCCTTGGCGCCCGCGCCACGGCGCCTGACGCCAAAATAACACTGCATCACTTAAACTGGCCTGAAAACTTGTACTTAGGGTAAGCCTAACTCCGTGAATACGAACTTCATTCACATTTACTTGCATTTCCCACGAGTTTCTTTGGAGAAGTACTTGATCAGTTACGACTCCGTGGCAGAAGCGCCAGGTTTTTCATGCAAAATGAAAAGATATTCGTGTTCAGCTCAAACGATCCAGGCGAACAAGTTTTCAGCTGAAATTGGTGACCTCAAGTCTTCGGCGCAGGCGCCCGCTTCGCGCGGGCCGCCAGGATGCTTTTCGGGTTCAAGCGATGCGATATCCTGTTCGCGGCTGACACTTACAACTTGCAAGAAAAATTTTTCAGCAAATTCTGCCCGCCGAGAAAAAGCTCGGTCAGCAAACTGGCCTGATTCGGCATGACTGGGTAGAAAGCGGAAATAGATGCAATATTTTTCCGTTTATTGTATCTTCTATCACTTAAGCACATTATCTTTTCCTTAACCGTTTTGGCTGACAGCCGCCGAGAACAACTACCTATACAACCCATAACTTTCTGAATAAGTAGATTAGAAGGAGCCGTCCTCCTTCAACGATAGTTTGTGAGAGAAAGCTGCCCTGAAGTTATGTTGAAACTTGCCTGTGGGAGTACAAGTACTTCCGTATCGGTGCCGTAAATAAAGTACTGAGAGGGAGTTGTACAAAACTAGGAAATTTCATTTAGGGACAGGACGATAACGAACTCCCAAAAGACGGCCCAGTTTCTTTCTTTTTCTCAGTGCGAGTAGTGCAGTCGCCTAGCGCTTTCAAGGTAAGCGACACCACGTGCACCCAACTTGCTATAACCGAGGGTAAGAATGCGTCAAGACTCTAACATTGCGTATCACTCTACATTTATAGGAAACCTTTTAGCGTGCGTCACAGAAGGAAGAAAATAAAAGAAGCTCAAGACAAGGAAGAAAACAGGAGCAGAAACAACGCACAGTTCCAAAGTGTTCAGCCAGCTGTCTTCGGCACCTCCTTTTTGCTTTCGTATCCGCTTCCTCGTCAGCTCATCCATACAGTCCTCCTCAAAGTCATGTAACTCTCGTAACTCTTCGGCACTTAGGTATAGTCCTGCAATGTGGAATTTTGCAGCCACTAATCTCGATCGCTGATGCCTATGTCAAAAATGCTGAGCCCTGTGCTGTGAATGCCTCACTAGCTTGGGTCCGCTTAGGCAACTGGAAGGATTAGGGGGTCCAGTTATGGACAGCTAGTGGGACCTGTGTACATGAAGCTTTTTGAAAATTGCGTGGGGACACCTTAAATTGTACTTTCGCTATAGATCAGTAGGAAACATTAGAGGCACAGTCCACGCTATTCGGGGGCGAAGAGCATCGAAAAACCCGTTGGATTTCATTGCGCCACACGGGTCATCGACCGATTCGAGATACCATGCAGTAAAAAGTATAGGAAAAAGAAATGTGAAGGAAAAGAGAACCAACTCATTGAACACTTTGCGACGACGTCTTCTCGCTCCTTGCCGGCCTTCAATGGCTTTTTCTAAAAAGCTTCACCATTTACCACAAACAAGAAAGGATAATAAAGTTCCCTCCCCCATCAAAAATAATGGAGAAATCTGGTCAGTACCTTGGAGAAGAAACATAGAAGTCGGGCTATATAGGCTAGTATT